TATTGAATACCATAAGAATAAAACAATAAATATTACATAATATGAACAGTAACAACACACACGCAAATTGCCAATTATAGTTATTGTGCCATTTCCAACAGAAAAACAGTGTAAGAACAACAATAAAAACAAAATATTTTTGACTTTTATTAATATAACGGATTGAATTAATGCATCTGCTCTGTATATATTAAAATAACGAAAGATCAGTAAAGAAAGTAATAACATTTCAATTTGCAACACAATAGTAACCTGCCATAACAATACTCTGCAAATCAATGAGGACCACAAATAAATCAATTCAGTTAAAGTTTCAATAAAATTACAAAATATATTATATTCAATTAAATTAATTAAATAAAAAACTTTACAATAAAAACCATGCAAAATTAATACAGAAAAGGTTTGAGCCAAAGTTAAGTGCGCCGCTGACCATTGTCACGGGTGGACGCTGTCACTCGGAGCGACGACGAATATTAAACGGGCTTTGTTAAGAATAATGACGTCTAGTATAGTGAAATGCAGTAATTGCAATATAGTGATTAACGAGGTTCTAGCGTTTATCCAGAACAAAGTGGATGTCATGGATGAGGATGCTATTGTGCGTTAAAAAGCCGTCGAACACAAACGTGTTCGACGGCTTTTTCGGCGGAAGAAATTGTGAAGGCGAAAACATTACTCTATGATTCTGTAACAACATCAAACCGTAAGTTAACTCGTAAGAGAGAGGGAAAAACACAGCGAAATCTTGAAGATATAATTACTCTTGTGAAATCAATTGACCCTGAAGAAATGCCGATATTTGTGGCAAAAAATTTACAGAAACTACCCCCGGTTACTTTTGATCACATTGATGTTACAAGGTTATTGAAGGAACTCATTCTTTTGCAAAATGAAACTAAAACTTTTAAAGAAATATATGCTACAATTGAGGAGGTCAATTCTATTAAAAAACAACTGACTAATTTGAAAGAAGTTTTGGTTATGAACAAATCTGACTTGAATAATGTAAACAAAGTGCGAGGATCCCATAACTGTGATTTAACGGAGAATTTCTACTGTGACAGTGGTCCAATCGGTTTACCACACATAGCATCGCCTAATATCGACGTAACTACCCCTAAGCAGCGGGCGAATAATATCGAGAGGACTCGTGTACATGAACAGCCGTCGCCATTGCTGTCGACACCGCATACATCTTATTCATTAGTTGACAACCTACCTATTCATTCTAAGGAGCAGAATACGGAGCAGACTATCGGAGCCGCTATGACCGGTGTGCAGCAACATAAAAATAAGAAACAATCGTTTGCCAATATTGTGAAAGTGGATGGAACTTGGAAAGAAAATGTCCGCGATAATGATTGGCATTTAGTGCAGCGGAGAAGATTTAAAAATCGTCTTATTGGTATAAAAGGCACGGCTCCCTCAAAACCGTATTTAAAATTTAAAGCGGCAGATATTAAGGTTCCTCTTTTTATTAACAATGTGGACAAGGAAGCTTCGGAAACAGATATTGCACAATATATATTAAGCAAAACACAGCTCACTGTTAAGATAGAAAAAATTAATATGAAGCAACAAAAAGAATACAATGCTTTTAAAATACATGTACCAAGGCATAACTTAGCCACTTTTATGAACAATGATTTTTGGCCCGATGGAGTGTCTTTTCGGCGCTTCTACAATTTTAAAAGCAAATTAAGCAGTGGTGTTTCTTCAAAGAATACAAGCAGCAGCCCTATAATAACTATTAATGGATAATAACGGCCAATCTATGATATCAACATTTACATCATTTAATTGTAAATCGGTAACAAGATCAGTGGATGGAATAAAACTGTTGTGTAAGACGGCTGACGTCATCGCTTTGCAAGAAACTTGGTTGTTACCTCATGACGCCAATTATATTGGCACAATAAGTCAGGACTTTGATTTTACGAGTAAATCAGCGGTAGATACGTCCATAGGTATGATACGTGGCCGACCTTATGGTGGGGTCGCCATAATGTGGCGAAAATGTCTATTTACCAACGTGACAGTAATACCTTGTGTTAGTGCGCGAATAACAGCGATCAAAATAGTGTTATCTGATCGTGCTTTATTGGTGTTCTCAGTATATATGCCAACGGATTGCTTAGATAATTTGGGAGAATTTACGGACTGTTTGGGTGAGTTATATGCCATAATTGATAGTTGTGAAGTGGACTCGGTTATTATGTTAGGGGACTATAATGCTCATCCTGGTTCTTTGTTCTTTAAAGAATTGACAGGTTTCTGTGAAGACCAAAACTGGTTCTGTGCGGATGTGGATCAGCTGGGGGTTGACTCAGATAGTTACACATTTATAAGTGAAGCACACAGTAGTAGGCGCTGGCTGGATCACTGTCTGATTACAGAGGCAGTTTTGAAGGCTGTTGTGGGAGTAAATATACGATATGACACTTTCTGGTCTGACCACTTACCGTTAGAAGTTCGTTTTAATATTGGTAATATTAAGCCTAAAATTACATTATATAATAAAGTGTGTAATAAAGTCTTATGGGGTGAAAGAAATAGTTCTCAAATACAAAGTTATAATGAATTGTGTACTAGCAAATTAAGAAACGTTGACTTCCCTACCGAACTGGGTTTGTGTTGTAATAAAATGTGTCTTGTTGAGGAACATAAAGTAATTATAAACAATCTTTATGCAGAGATTGTTGATATACTTAGTATATCAGCAGTTGCTAGCTACGGGGTTAGACAACGTGAAAAAGAAAGACATGTCTCTGGTTGGAATAAATATGTAAGTGACGCTCACAGGGAGGCTCGACTTTGTTTTAAAATATGGACTCTAAATAATAAACCTACAACCGGTTCTATCTTTGAAAACATGCGTGAGAGTAGAAAGGTATTCAGGAAAAGGCTTAAATGGTGTCAGGATAATAGAGATCAAATTAAAATGGATATCCTAGCTACGCATCACACTGCTAAGGACTTCGGGAAGTTTTGGAAGAGTACTAATAGACTTAATCCGAAGTCGAGCGTCCCTGTGAGTGTGGAGGGTATAAGTGATTGTCGTCAGATCGCTGAGCTTTTTAGGACTCATTTTGAAATGCGATCACCTTTGGGCCCCGCTCTTCGAATGCTAGACTCTGAAAACCATCCCTTAGAACAACAAGTACGTTTCACTGCTAAAGATATTGATTTGATTATTAAAAACATGAGTCGAGGTAAGTCTGCCGGACATGATGGATTAAGTGTTGAGCATCTGAAGTATGCGGGTATTCACCTACCGAGGGTGCTTGTAATGCTTTTTAATTTATGTATTGCGCATTGTTACTTGCCTAGTGACTTGATGAAAACTATTGTAGTACCAATAGTAAAAAACAAAACAGGGGATGCCTCCGATATTAACAACTATCGACCTATCTCACTAGCAACAGTTTTAGCAAAAGTTCTTGATTCACTGTTGGACCGTCAGCTCGGTAACCATTTAGATTTGCATGATGCGCAGTTCGGGTTTCGATCTAAGCTATCCACTGAAAGCGCAATTCTTTGTTTAAAACACACGGTCAGTTATTATACTAGTAGAAATACACCTGTATATGCATGTTTCTTAGATTTATCGAAGGCATTTGACCTGGTATCCTATGACCATTTATGGTCCATGATGGCCCACGATACGTCTTTGCCAACAGAACTTGTTAACGTGTTTAGATATTGGTATGAAAATCAAACAAATTATGTAAGATGGTCCGGCTCGACGTCGGATTTGTATGGGTTGGAGTGTGGAGTGAGGCAAGGGGGAATAACCTCACCAAAGCTCTTTAATCTTTATATGAACCGACTTATCGTTGAGCTCAGTGACTGTGGTCTCGGCTGTTCAGTCGATGGACATTCTTTTAATAATATTAGTTACGCAGATGACATGGTCTTGCTGAGCCCTTCGATTAGAGCCCTAAGAAAGCTGCTGCAATTTTGTGAACAATACGCGTTGGCCCATGGTCTCAGGTATAATGTTGATAAAACAGTTATCATGGTATTTACGACACGTAATAAAGCTGTTACTCAAATTCCGCCCGTTAAATTAAACGGTATGCTATTAAGTAGAGTCTCGCGTTTTAAGTACCTGGGCCACTGGGTCACTGAAGACCTGTCAGATGATCTAGATATAGAAAGGGAGCGCAGGGCGTTGGCTGTCAAGTGCAACATGCTGGCCCGTAGATTTGCGCGATGTAATGAAGAAGTCAAAGTAACTTTATTTAGAGCATACTGCCAGTCGTTTTACTCGTGCAGTCTATGGGTCAAGTACAAGCGAAAGTCATACAATGCCTTGCGCGTTCAGTATAATAATGGGTTCAGGATGCTGTTGAGGCATCCGCGATTCTGTAGTGCATCACGCATGTTTGCGGACGCCAGAGTTGATGATTTTTACGCTATCATTCGTAAGAGAGTTGCATCGTTGATGCGCAGAGTCCGCGGTGCCACTAACGGTCTCCTGAACGTGATTGCTGACCGCTGCGACGGTCCGATTTTGAAACATTGGGTGATGGTACACATGACCCATTTATCTATTAATAAATAAGAGCTACCACATATACTAACATAGTTTTAAAAGTTTTCTTTTACTAACAAATCTATGGACTTTGTCTGAAAATAAAATTTATTATTATTATTATTATTATTATTATAAAAAACTATATACGTTACAAACTAATGCATCTCGTCTACATATAACAAAGTAATAGATGATTATTAAACATAGTACTATCATTCTGTTAAGCAATATGATGATAACTTGCCAAGACAGTACTTTGCAGACCAATAAAGAAAAAAAAATATTAGTATTAAAATCAATAAAATGATAAGACTGAATTTTTTGGATAAAACATTTTAACAATTTTATAGAATAAAAAACATGCAAAAATATAACAAAAAAAGTTTGAGCCAAAGTTATAATATTTATTTCACTATAGTCTGCATTATGCAATTCTTTACAAACCAAACTATTAAACTTAACCACTACCAAAAACCTTGGTCATTTCCTTGTCAGTACGAATAAGGAACGACTGCTTCCCTTCATCCTGTCTTACATAAATACGACCCCGTTTTGTCCAGACATACTTCCATGACAAGCGCTTACGTTCATCTCGAACCTTGCGTAAAAGGTGCCTGTTGTATTTGGTGAGTCTTTCGTTTATATAAAACGCCCGAGGCTCGCTATGAAGTCCGAAGTCGGCTGTATTAACCCCGCGACGCACGCGCATACTATGAAGCAGCTCGTCTCGCAGAGTGCGACGCGCCAGACGTATAACCAGGGGGCGTGGCCTCCCTACGTCGTCGTGCGTATCACCTCCTCCTTTCAACGTCCCTTCACCCGTTCTATTTGTTGAGCGCACATATCTTAGTGATCCCACACGTTCCGCGGAGACCACATCACGGTCGTCGATTTGCACACCTAACTTGACCGCTATCAGTTTAACAATGTTATGAGGATTTTCATTATTATTTTCGGGCAAATTAGTGATTTCAATGTCATTCGCTAACAACTCCTGCTCCTTATCATTAATTTCCAAGCGTAATTCGGCTATCAGTGACTCCAACCGTTCCCCCTTTCTATCCTTGCACTCCATAGGCTTCTCAACCGCTTCCATACGTGATTCCAGCCACTCAATACGAGCATCGTTTTTTGATAGTAATTCACACATATCCTGACGTATATTTTTTATCTCGCTGTGTAAAGTATGCAATTCCTCGCGAAATAATCGTATCTCCAGTGCTATTTTAAACTCTTCTGTGCTATCTGTAGCTGTGCTGTTGTGTGGTTCCTGCTCGCCGATAGACATATTATTCTCATCCTCAGACAGCCGACAAGGAAGAGCCGGCCTTACAGGAGTATCCATATTATAATCTCGAGGTACGTTTTTTTGGCATTCTGGACATGACCATAATTTAGGAACTTTACCATTTTTGAATTTCCCTGCGCATAACTGGTGATAACGTAGGGAACATTTCGTGCATGCTACACTATCTGATTGTGACAAGTATCTGCCACAAGCTGCACATTTAGTCATGCTTAAATTGAATGTGCCACAACAAACTCGACGAAAACAAAACAAAACAGCAACTACTGCGCACAGCTATCCGTCAGCTGTTAGTCAGCTGATAGTCGGGTAAATGCAAAAAAGGAAAAAAAAATTCTTCACTTTGATACCTCCTGTATGAGTTTATTTGTAATATTATTAATCAAGACAGTGTAAAATATATATATACTGATTATTTTAACAACTCTAAGCAGCGTTAATATGATTTGTCTCGCTCAGTGAGTTGCTGCTAAGAGACACTCTCCTCATTTGAAACATAAGGTTGTGCACCATAGGTTTCAGTATCAATAGTTTAATTTATCTTTATATAATTCACAATCCTGATCTGTTCCAGTGAGCACAGATGTTTCAGCTAAATGTTTTGTCACTTCCTCACTATTTACAATGAATATATTCACAAAAACAATAATTTTATTTGTGAGAACTTGAAAACACGTCTTATAAGCTGCGCAGTGGCGCCACCTCATGTCATCATTTTTAGTATTCATTCGATCGTCACGGTGTGTACTCATATCAAATCATTTTATCATTTAGCATAAAAAGTCAAAAATCAATAAATAATTTCTATCAATTGAACTCTCCGTATCATTTCTTATCAAAACTAAAGATTGTGCGGCAGCAGCTCGTACAACTTTATGGTCCTTTGAGCTACTTAACCCAACGTGCGGTGAGGTTAAAAAGCGGGGCCACGCGGCGCGACAACGTGACTTATTTTGTGGTGCACGCGTATCCTGTGACTTTCCGTTCGTCTATCAAACTATCAGTGTATCAATTTTATCAAGACTATACCAAAATATCAGTGAGAGCATTAGTGGTTATCAATATCAAGCAATCATCATCAATCAGAACTTTGTTCATCATCAATTATCAAGCGTATTCATCATCAGTGCTCTGCGTGTTCAACCGGTCTTACGTGTGGTAGCGAATCGGTCAAACCGGCCTCCCACCAGCGGGTCTCACCGGTGAGATTGAGAAGGCGCACATATCGCATCGCGGACTTTGGAGCACGCGGCACGCGCACGTGGCATCAGCAAGCAATTATCAAACTCGATTAATTTTCAATCTTCAATCATGGAAGACCTACTAGCAGTTCAGCATCAGCTTATGGAAGCTATGCAACAACTCATCACTAATTTCAAGAAGGATGGTTCAGAAAGGAAAACCCCTTCTTATATCAAGAGACGCTTGGACACGTTAGAACAGTATTGGAGGGAATTCCAAGAAAACCATATCAAGTTGTGTGAAAGCGAAAACCGCGACTATACGTATTTCTCCGAAAAGCAATATGATCAAGTGTCGGAGTTTTATACCGAAAGTCGACGAATCATTCAAATGTATCAACAAAAAGATCAAGATCCAAAAGCAGTGCTGCGACCTGCAACTCCTTTAAGTGGCATGGACTGGCAGCACACTGGAAAACGTCAATCACCTGTACCTCCGTCAGGAACCCCTCAGGAACAGCAGCCACGTCCTGAAAATCAAAGCAAAATGTCATTATCATCTATCAAGATTGACAAAAGCAACCCCAGCAAACTTGACGAGATGTACCGTAAGCAAAAAAGCAATATCAAAGCACTAGAACGAGCAATAAATAATGTCAATATCGAATTACTTACCGAGAAGTGGGAGTTCGAGGACGCTTTGCGCACAGTTCAAAGCCGCTGGCAGGCCGTGGACTCTTTACATTGGGAGATTGACAGCGAACTCATCACCGAGGATTTACACTATGAAAACATATATTATACGTATGAGGATAAATATAATCAAATCAAAAAATCTATCAACAGCAAAATGTGGGCTGTTTCTCATCAAGAGCAGTGCACACCCAAAATGGAGATACCGACATTCAGTGGGAGCTATCAACAATGGACGTGTTTCAAAGACTTATTTACAGAGTCCATTCACAAAAGCAGAACAATATCAGATGCACAAAAAATGCAATATCTTAAAAGTAAGGTAAGAGGAGAAGCCGAAAAATTAATTCAACACCTACAGATAAGTTCAGAAAATTATAAAACGTGTTGGGATATTTTGAACCACCGTTACAACAATAAACGCATGATTTTTAGCTCACATATGAACGTCCTTCTCAGTTTACCAGCCAATCATCAGCAATCAGCATTTGCACTTAAAAAACTCCATGATACAGCTAAGGAATGTTTACACGCTATAAAAAACCTGGGTATCAATATATCAAACTGGGATCCACTCATAGTACATTTATTAATTCAAAAGGTGGATACCGAAACTCATAACGATTATTTCGACTATCTTGAAGATCCTAGAGAGCTGCCAGTCTTATCAGAATTTTTGACATTCCTGGAAACACGATTTACAGCTTTGGAATCATCACGACGCAAGCAAGAGTCGCCAAAAATCAATCATCAATCACAATTTTATGACTTCAAAAAATCCAGTAATTATAAAGCAAACCCAGGCGCATCAAGTAGTAAAGCATTTATTAATCATACTAGTGCGAAAACATTCCAAGCGACGACGACGTTACGTAACAAGACACCGCCACCGTGCCCTTTATGCAATGAACAACACGGTATTTATCATTGTAAAATATTTTTAGAACAAACGCCAGAAGCAAAAAGAAAAACAGTATCAAAACTTCACTTATGCGAAAATTGTCTTTTTGATCATAATGGCAAAGAATGTTTTTCGGAAAAAAGATGTATGCAATGTAAAAAGAATCATAATACTTTGCTACACGAAGCATACACATTATCAAATAACAGAATGTATCCACAAGCAAGCAATGGTAAGCTAAATCAACAAAAGCAAGTAACACACGTATCACAAGAAAGTGTGGCCGAAATACTTCTCGCCACGACACAAATAAAGGTGCAAGCAGCCGATGGAACTTTCATCACTATGCGAGCTTTGATCGACCAAGGGTCACAGACATCGCTTATCACAGAAAATGCTGCACAAAGACTTGGTTTACCAAGACAACGCTGCAAAGGAGTTATTTTTGGAATCGGTATCAAAGAAAATAACAGTAAAGGTGTCATCAATATATTAGTATCCGCGGTTCATACTGATTACAAATTCAGCACTGACGTCGTCATTATGAAAAGCCTTATAAATAATTTACCCAACCGCACGTTCAGCAAACCATCCTGGAGTCACCTAGAAAATATTCAATTAGCAGATCCAGACTTCAACATCAGTCGTCCCATAGATATACTGCTGGGAGCCGATATTTACTGTAACATTATTTTAGGAGGAATCATAAGAGGAGGTGAAAACGAACCGATAGCACAGCAATCCCGCCTCGGTTGGATCATATGTGGTAATTTGAAGTCATCATATCAATGTAATGTTGTTTTACACAACCTAGAGGACATATCAAGATTTTGGGAGATAGAAGACATAGCAGACAGCTCTATCGATATGTCATCAGAAGATTATTACTGTTTAAAGCAATACGACGCCGAAACCGAACGAAGATTCGATGGACGTTATGTCGTACGACTACCATTAAAACCTGACATTGAAGACAAGTTAGGCGAATCAAAACAAAAGGTCGTCGCACAGCTCTATCAACTAGAAAGGAAATTTAGCAAAAACGAAAATTTATCAGAAGAATACAAAGCATTTATCAAGGAATACATTGATTTGGGTCACATGCAGCAATGTACTCGCAACAGCAATACGACACCCAGTTACTATCTACCGCATCATTGTGTGCTACGAGAAGGCGCTACGACTACAAAGCTACGCGTCGTATTTAACGCGTCATCAAGGACGTCGTCTGGATACAGTCTCAATGACTTGATGTACAGTGGCCCTAACCTCCAAAATGACATTTTGACACTCGTAATCAGATGGCGCCAATATGAAATTGCCTTTTCAGCAGATATCGAAAAGTTTTTTAGAGCTATTATATGTAACGAAAAGGATCAAATTTATCAAAAAATCGTGTGGCGCGACAGCACTACCGAGCCACTACGCGATTATCAATTAACAACAGTAACTTACGGAACGAAAGCTGCACCGTTCCTAGCAATGAACACATTGAAGCAATTAGCACGTGATGAAGGTCATAATTATCAAGAAGCAGCGAAAACTTTAGATCAAAATATATATATGGACGACATTTTGGGTGGCCATCATAGCATCTCTTCAGCAAAGAAACTTCAACAAGAGCTCATCAATTTACTTAAAGCAGGAGGGTTTAATCTACGAAAGTGGAATTCAAATCATAAAGAACTATTAGAAGCAAATTTATGTAGTAATGCTCAGAATGGGTTTGAATTTAAGCAAAAGGACTCATCAAAGGCATTGGGACTACATTGGAATTCAGAGAAAGATTTCTTTTCATTTCAATTAAAAATCGACACATCAATGACGAAACCAGCCACAAAACGTTCACTCTTATCAGACATATCAAGCATTTTTGATCCGTTAGGCTGGCTTTGTCCGATCACAACAAAACTTAAGTTGCTATTTCAGACTGTATGGCAACAAGAACTAAAATGGGACGATACGCTTCCTCAAAAAATTTATCAAGAGTGGTATACCATCAAACTTGACCTCGAAGAAATCAACAAGATACGAGTACCGCGATGGCTACATATTAGAGGCCAAGATAACATTGAGCTTCATGGGTTTTGTGATTCTTCGGAGCGCGCATACGCCTGTGTCATCTATTGTAAGGTGAAAAATCAAAATCAGGACCTACCGGCATCAGTAGTTATAGTTGCAGCCAAATCAAGATTAGTCCCAGTATCGAAGTGTGTATCTCTTCCTAGACTCGAACTTTGTGCTGCGCTCTTATTATCAAAATTAATGCAAACAGTTCTACATAGCTTATCAGATCAAAATATAAAAATCTTCGGTTGGTCAGATTCTACTGCCGTGCTCGGTTGGATACATGGCGACGTTCAACGTTGGAAGCCTTTTGTGACTAATCGAGTCGAAAAAATCAAGAAAATCATACCGGCTAGTTCTTGGCGTCA